CGTTCTTCGAGGACGGCGAGGGGGCGCACAAGACGCAGCTCATCACGAATAAGAAGGGGGATGGCCTTAAACTTTGGACTAACTACCTGGCTGCCAAGAAGGCCGCCTGGGCGAAGGAGTTGGCGGACAAGTCAGCTGGGGTCCAGGCTGACGTGCAGGGGGGCCTCGCTACCGCCATCGCCGTGGCGCAGAAGGAGAAGTCGGCCCAGGCTGCCGCGACCGCAAGGACCGCTGCGCAGACTAGGCTGAAGGCGAAAAATGGCAAGCGCTCGTGGGAGGTGGAGAAGGCCGCGCGAGATGGCAGTGGGTCGGTCGAGGAGGCCTGGCAAATGCGCCATAGGGGCGCGTCTGGAAGTTCGTGCCAGTTTGAATGCATTACATACGTTGCACATTGCATTCGCCGAGCTTCTTGCGAGCGGCGGCTGGCAGCTCGAGACGAGAGCGGGGGGACACTGCGCGCGTAGCAACCCCATCCGCACGCGTGTTCTTCATCATTGTTGCTCTCTTTGTTTTTTCTATGTACTGCTGCCGTTGACCTGGCCGTCGTCGTTGCAGTCGCCGCAGTCGTAGCAGTCGTCGACATTGCTGCTGCCGTCGACCTGCCGACTGCACGCCCGCCGTGCCTCTGGCCAGTCGGCCTTCGTGCTCGCCCGTCGCGGGCGTCTGCGTGCGGTTTTCCTTTCGGCCAGCCGCCCCATCGGTCGCTTCCCTGAGCGCATCCCCTATGCCCCGCACTCGGCGCACGCGCAGAGCTGAGTTTGTGGCGCGAGGTGCCTGCGCGCCCGCGCCCGCGCAGTAGAGCCTGCGTGCCCGCGCCCGCGCGCAGCCAGCCTGCGTCTTAGGCACGTCGCAGCGCTTTGGTCCCGCCCAGGGCCCCCGATGCAGACTCGCCCCTTCGCGGATGGCCCGCTGCGCATGCGCGCGCGCAGTGGCGCGCGCGCGCGTGCGCGTGCGCGAGCGCGCAGTGGAGGTCATCCCACGTGCTCCTTTTCGGCCTGCAAGTTTCTCGGAGGTTTTGCAGAGTTTGGCCCGCCGCTGTGCCTGCCAGGGTTGCGCCCGCGTCGATGGCGGCACAGGGCGCCGATGCGCCGCCTGGCGACGCCCTCGCCCCCGCGCCGTCAGACGTGGTCACGGTCGATCCCGCCGCGAGCACTGAGCGCATCATAAATGACGAGGGGCGCGTCTTTGTGGACCAGTTGGACGGCTCGACGCCCCCAGTCACCGACGCTCTCACCCAAGGGAGACAGCTCGTTAAGGGACCCAGCTGGCAGATTTGCTTCGCGGACGGCGTCGGCGAGGGCTCTGGCGCGGGCGAGGGCGGCTCTAAGGCGGCCGCCATCTACGGGGACGGGCGCGACGGCAAGCCTGAGGTAGCGGGGGTCACATGGCATTTCATGCACCAACGGGGACACGCGTTTCCCCCCCCCTTTGCAGGGGGTGGGTTGCCCAACAGGTTTTTTCGTTTGGGGGGGGTCGAACGTCGGCATTTGCGCGCTCTCGACGACGTCGCGCGCGCTCGCGCGCCGCAGAGCGAGCGCGCCGCGCGAGTCGGGCGCGCCCCGGGGGCAGCGCGCTCGTTCTTTGCAGAAAGGCGCCTTTCGAAAACAGTACCCGACGCATAATCACGCATTCGATTGGTCCCAGATGGTGGGCCTCATGGCCATTTTCGTTGTGGAGCGGAGCGGTTCCCCTGGCGCACTGCACCTGCAGCGCAAGGGGTCTCCGCTGATGCGCGAGCTTGGTGCCGAGGAGCCCCTGCGACGCACTGTGGAGGTCAAGATTGGCTCGCCCGTCTTCGAAGGCACGGTTGCCCTGGATACCCCTTGTTTCCAACGCAGGAGGGAGACGGGGGCTCAGCTTTTCTGGGGCCCCCAGCGTCCGCGCAGACTCTTCAAGTTCACGGCTTGCCAAGGCACCGGGTGTAGTCTGGCGCCCCCCTCCCCAGATGAGACGCGAAATGAAGTAAAGCAGCAGGCGAAACAACGCGAACACTTGCGACGAACCAGACGAACTTGTATTTGAATTCAAGCACAAGCGGTCTATTGAAACGACGTTGAGGCGAAATCCAAACGACCCCGCGGCGACTGCAGTCCAAACTATAACGCAGTAGGTCAGCTCAGGCTTGCAGGCTTCGTAGCGACTGGGGGTCGCCGCTGCAAGGCAACGTTTGCTTGTGATTTCTTAGGTGGCGGCTCTCGTGAGAGGATCGGGCTTATGCCATTTCCTGCGCCTGGGTTTGGGCAGCTTCGGTCGCGTCGTCGGCCCAGGGTTGTCGCGCGGTGGCTGCCGGCGTGGGGTGGGGGGGGGCTCTTCGGTCAACGTCGACACAGGGCGACGCAGGGCGGGGTTTGGTTCGGGGGCGGGGGACGAGGCCATGGCTCGGTTTCAGCGGCCAGGCAAGCCGAACAAGTGGATCGACCAACTGCAAGGAAAATGGGAGGGCCACGTCGCATCTACGCAGGCTGCAAGGGCTACTTCTTTCACCCCACTCACGGCAGCACCTCGCAGAAGGTGATCAACAGCGTGGCGCTTTGCGATCGCTGCTTGCCGCGCCCCTCTTGCTCTACGCTCGCACTCGTGCTCCTGTGCTTGCGCCGGGCTTCCACCGAGCGCGAGCGGGGCGGGTTTGCCGACCAACGTGACAGGTGGGAAGCGGTCCGGCCCGCGCACACTGATCGAGAAGCTGTCGGCGTTCATCCGGGTGGGCGATGGGGTCGCTTTCGAAGCGGTGGCGACGACAGAGTGGCACTGCAGGTGGCCCAGGCCACAGTGTATCGATAGGGACTACATAGGCATGTCTTTCTTTGTCATCTCGAACGAGTTGTTCGCGCGCGTGGACGGCGTGGGAAAGGCTGCCACCCAGTCGCCAAGGGCTGGTGGACCGCCCAGTCCAAGCACAGCCGCCCCACCGAGAAAGGCTTCGCCATTAGTGTCATGAAGCTCCTCGACGACACTGCGGGCGAAAAGACGTGTCGGGCCTTGCGCGCGCAGGTGTCGTGGCGAACCAGTTGGTGGGTTGAGGCTGGGATCGGTGCCACATGCCAGGAAACTCCGCAGGAAAATAAGGCAACTCCTGAGCGCGAAGTGGGTGCGGCATGGAAGGGCGCGCTGACGTCGAGTACGGATATCCGCTCTAGGCTGCCACGCTGCGTCCTCGCGTGCGTCGGCGCCTCGTCGCAACACCACGTATTCCATTTCTGTACAGACAAAGCTTGGGTGCGCGGGTTGCCGCTGCAGGATGCCAACTTCAGTTTGAACAACAGCGTATTGATCGAGAATGTCCCACAGGTCACGCAAGGGTCACGCATGGCCTTTCCGACTGCGCAGTCGGCCTTCCTGAGCATTCGTCCGGGCCCAAGGGGAGGCGGGGGGTGGGGGGGCCGTCGTGGGTGGGTTATTCCCCAAGTAGTGCTCGCACTTAGGGGGTTCGTCTTTGTCTCCAAAGGAGCTAGGCCTGACTGTCCGTCCGGCCGCCCTGTGGCCGCCAGTCGCCGCCGTGCGTCGCCGCTCCTAGTGGGCTTGGCTGTCAGTCGCCGCGATGGTTGCCGCCCGTCGCCGCCCGGTGCCACCGTCCGTAGCCGCTACTATTGGGATTGACTGTCGGTCGCCGCGCTTGTGGCTTCCCGTTGTTGCCGTGCGTCGCCGCATGGACTGCGCCACGTATCTGGCACCACATAGCTTATATGCATTATTGTGCCGCATGCATCGCACCGCGCAGGATTGGAGGCACGACAAGTCCCAGTCTGGCCGTATTCGGGCACCGGGGGAGGGGTTGACGTAAGTAGACCCATTATCGCCCGTGGTTGGGGGGTCTCAGGAGTGGGTTGTTCGCCCAAGCGCTGGCGCAAAATATGTGGTGCAAACTTTTCGAACAATCGAAATGGAAGTATTAGCACAAGTTTGAAGTCACCGGCCAGAGGTGTGAGGCGTGGTGGCGTTAACCTGGCCGGACGTGTGGTGACGTTAACTTGGCCGGAGGTCTGGCCGGGGATCGAAATTATCAAAGTGTGGTCCCCATCAGAGGCGAATTGGACAAGTAACGATTCCACCCTCCCCTGCCTACTGGGAAAGGGGTTCCAGCCATATTGTGGCCTAGGGGGGCGTGGTTCGCTTCGCGAGTCAAACACGCATCGCACCGCATGGGTTGCCCCACGTAGCTTGCGCCACGCGTCTTTGGTCCGCTTGCACGACGCTCCAAGACAGCCTGAGAGGGCCCCAAGAGGGGCCCTAGAGGGCTCCAAGAGGGGGCCAAGACGGCTCCAAGAGGGTCAACTTTTGTGCTACCAGACGACCCCCCGCTGGTAATAGAAAGGTTGCCCCTCTTGGGGCCCTCTTGGAGCCCTCTTGGAGGCCTCTCAGGGCCCCTGAGACCGCCCCTAGAGCCGCGAGACGGCTCCCAGGGGACCCCAGCAGGGCCCCAAGAAGGCCCCAAGAAGGGCCCAAGGAGACAACATTATCTACTACTACCAGCGGAGGCCCGTCTGGTAGTAGAAAAATGTGCCCTTTTGGGGCCGTTCAGGGGCCCCTCAAACCACGAACTGGAATCCAGTTCGTCGGATGTGGGGCCAGCTTGGAGCAATCTCGAAGCCGATATCAGCGGGCCCCAAGAGAGCTCCAAGAGAGCTCGAGTGGGCTCCAAGCAGGCTCCAAGAGAGCTCCAAAACGGCCATCAAGAGGTGCCAAAGCACGGGCACTAAGCAAAACCGAGGATGCACTTGAGAGCGTTGTGCTCCTCACCTACGGCGTCTACTGCACCAGCAACTACAAACCAAAGCAACACCGATGATTCACTTGATAAGCGGCGTTTTTTTTTTTTTTTCTCACCCGAACGTCTATTGCACCAGGAACTACACAGCCACACACAACCGAGGATGCACTTGATAAGCATTTGGTTCCTCACCTACGGCGTCTACTGCACCAGCAACTACAAACCAAGCAAAACCGAGGATGCACTTGAGAAGCGTTTTGTTCCTCACCTACAGCATCTACTGCACCAGGAACTACAAAGCAAATCTGAACCGAGGATGCACTTGAGAAGCGCTTGTTCCTCACCGACAGCCTTTACTGCACCGGCAAGTACAAAACCAAGCAGCGCCGAGGATGCACTTGAGAAGCGTTTTGTTCCTCACCTACAGCCTATACTGCACCAGCAACTACAAAACAAAACTCAGGTCTTTGATCCAGAAGTTCAAGCTGATGGAAAAGGGCCACGCTGCTGCGAGCACCTCGGCTGACGGAGCAAAGCTTGACGACAAGGTGTTGCGATCATGTTGCCAGAACGCAATTGCGATTCGAGTGGTGTACACATCTGACCCGTACAACCACCGCCTCATGAAGCTGATCGCCACGTTTGCCAAGCCGTTGAAGGATTGGCAGGAGACCCAGAGTAAGACGCTCAGGAGCTCCCAGGAATGCTGCGAATGGACCGTGGGCCAAATTATTGGCGATTACATGGAGCACGCGATCAAGATCCTCACCTTGACCGGCGCCTCGTCGTCCACAGAGGCTTGCAGGGTCTGCGTTGATGGCCTGGCCCTGGAGCCCGCCATCCTCCTGGAGGTGGAAGAAGACTTCACCGACACGGCTGGTGTATTGGCGCTGGGTTTGGCGACGCGGCGCGCTGCGAGGTCGCTCTGGCTCCTGGAGGGGTGGCGTCACAGAATGGCCGGGGCGATCAAGGACCATACTTGGAGACAGCTGATCGTGGGCGACTTCAGGCTGGACTACCACATTTTCCAGGAACTCGGACGCCTGGGCGCTCGTCCGCCGCCTCTGCAGAAGATGTTCAAGAGAAGCGTGTTCCAGCTCACGCCGGTTGCCCAGTGCAGGATCGGGTTGGAACGCTCCGATTGGAAGGCCACCCTCCCTTGCATTAACCTCGTGGAGTCGCATCACCAGGGCATTGCGTCTGCGTTACTGTCGGAGGAAAAGTTCGGCATCATGAAGAACAGGAGGGTCCTCAAGGGCGCCGAGTTGCACGGCAAGCCCGAGGTCGCGATGGCCAAGCGTCTGGAGGCGCAGGTGGGCAACGACAGGAATCGCTACACGGCAGCGCAGTATGACGTTTCCCCTGTACCAGCGACCGTGCGGATACCGAAGGACATGCTCGAGTGCAGCTTAAAATCTGCTTCCATCCAGGTGAAGGACACTCCCAGCAAGAAGCCGGCTCCGGAATGGCATTCCCCTGGGGCACCTAACATCAGCACCAACGTGGCCGACCTGTTCGCGCTGAGGCATGCGCATTCGAGAGGCGACCTCAAGGAGTGCGAGACCGCGTGGCTTGGCGCTTTGCCGAGCCACAAACAGAAATTGCTGGTCAAAGCGAGAGTTGGGCACGAGGATCGCTATTTCATCGGGGGCTTGCACTTCGAAGCGTCTGCGTGCCTGGTGTGGCCAGTGCAGAAGGTGGAAGCGCCCGCAAGCGGCGGGGCAAAGGGGTGGTACGACGTGGACGCTACATTTGGCGAGGCCAGATATGTTCACAGTAACGACTTTGTACGGTCGAGTGGTCTCTGCCATTCAGTTCCAGTGGCGCTCCTGGACGTGGCAGCAGATGAACTGCTCCAACGCCGCTGCTACGTGGGACCCCGCCTGGCGCATCATCACCAGCGCCGACGCTGAGTTCAAGGCTCTCCATGTGGTGGCGGCCGAGCGTGCGTTTTGGAAGCTGGCCAAGGCCGTCTTCCTCGACTTCGCCGATCACCTGCACATCGACGCCCCCCCGGGTTCGACCCTTTGCGGCGTGCTGATGGCCATGGTGAAGGACATCCCCAAGGTCGACGACAGGCGCGCCATCGAGATATTGAGGGCGAGGCTTGTCAACATGAGGAATGCGAATGACTTCAACGAGGAGCTGCTTCAAATTGATGACGCCATAGACTTTTTCGAAAAGCACGACGTGAAACAGGTCAAGCAGGAAATGGACAAGGCGCTGGCGTGCGAGGGCGAGGCCGAGGAGTTCGCCATCTCGCACAGGAAGGTCGTTGTCGAGGAGCGCGAGAAGGAGGAGAAGGAGGGCGCAATGAAGACTGATAAGAAGAAGCCCGACCCTCTACAGGACATCCTTGGCAGTATACCGCACGCCGAGACAAGCATTACGCGCCGCCTGGCGGGTACGTTGGGCGCGGCTTGGAGCAGAGGACCTGGAACGGCCACCTGCAGAACACGGGGTGCAGGCGGATCCGGCGCTCGTGGGGCGCCTACGCCGAGAGGACCGTGTCGCTCAAGATGGTCCTGGGCACGTTGTGGGCGCAGTACATCGAATACCATGGCCTGGACAATTCAGCGTGCTCCTGGAAGCACCTGCTCGATTGGGCGCATTTGCGCGCGTGGAGCGCGCCCGGTGTCGGGGCACGCTGCGGGCCACGAGGGAAGAGGGATGATGGAGGACCTTAGCTGAGTGCACCAAGTCGTGCCCCAGCAATTCAGGTGCAGTGGCGTTTCTTTCTCTCCTCTACCCCCTCGTCCTTCCCTCCTCTGTCCCATTATCCTCCGTAGCTTCCTCGTAGAGCATAGCGCAAGCTCTGCAAGGCACTGTCTTTGGAGTTGCGGTGCCCGGGGCCCGTCGTCGTGGGAGTCGACGCTCCGTTTGATTTAGCCGGTGCCGCTGCACGCGCCCTAAAGCCCAGAGTTGCGACCTTTGTTCCAGCAGTGCCGGGGGGGCGAGAGGGGGTGGATGGTGGAGGGAGGCAGAAGGTAGGAGGACGAGGAGGAACCGGAGGAGGATGAAACGCTAATGGGCAGGGAAGGGGGGCGAGGCGGATGGGGGAATAACCACGACCAGCATAAAAACTAACGTGCCCATGGGCCCTGGCATGAAGCGCCAACGAGCCGAAAGTCTCCCTGCGCAGCTTCTGTGGCTTACGAGCTGAGCGAGAGGGGGAGGATGAAGAGAAGGATCAAGAGGACGTTAGTCACCGTGGGCTCCAAATAGTGTGTTCGAGCATACTATGTGGTGCAACCTACGTGGTGCAATCCGCTCTGCTGAACTCGAAGTCGTTATCTCCACTGCTCGCGCAAACATCCCACCCACCCACCCGCAACTTGGTTTGCAAAACCTCTTAAGACCGACTACGACGACACCGACGACAACGACTAGGACGACACCGACGACGTCTCCGACGACTCTGACGACGACAACGACGCCGACGACGACGACGAAGACGACGACGACGCCAACGAAGGCGATGACGAGGGAGGAGGAAGGACGACGACGGCGACAACGACGACAACGACGACAACGACGAGGGAGGAGGGAGGACGGCGATGACGCGAACGACGACGAAAAAGGAAGAACGGCGACGCCGACGACGACAACGACGAGAGAGGAGGGAAAACGACGACGACAACGACGACGACGACGGCGACGAAATAGGAGGGACGACGACGAGACGCCGACGACGGACGACGACGACGACGACGTGGGAGGAGGAGGAAGGACGACCACGGCGACAACGACGACGGAAACGACCACGACGCCAAAGAGGACGACGACGACGAACACGAGAAAAGACAGAGGACGACGTAGGCGACGACGACGACGACGACGCGGGAGGAGGGAAGACGGCGACGACGACGACGACGACGACGCAAGAGCGCGCGCGCACGCTTTTGTTGAAAATCCGTGTTGCGAAAACTTGGATTTATGTAGGTGGCTTGGACGCACGATTTTGAAATCCTTCCGAAACCGATGGGTTTTGAAACTTTTCGGCATACGCACGCGACGACGCGCGCGTTTGCACTTCGTTTCATTTTTTGCAGAGGATTCCCGCGACGGCACACGCGCAAGGGCGCTCGACAGATTTCGACACGCGCGCGCGAAGCCCGTTTGGTAGAATTCTGTGAAAATCTAGAAAAACCTATTATTTTTCTTAAGATTTTGCAAGAACTCGCGCGGAAGCTTTTTTAGCAATTCAGTGTGGCGAAACCATGTGTTTTTGTATGTTTTTTTCTTGGAAACTCGATTGCGAAATCTCTCCGGCACTGAACGTTTTCGAAAGATTTCGGCATGCGCGCGCGACGACGCGCGCGTGTGCATTTCGTTTTTTTTTTTGGCAAGGGATTCGTGAAACAGTGTTATGTTAGAACAAAAAATGTCACCGCATAGTGTTTTTTACAAAGGAACCTCAGGGGGGGGATCCCGGCCTGCCTGGGATGGTACGATTTCATCGGAGGTGAGGGGGTGAGATCGAAGTGGAACGGCCCTACCGGGAAATCGATTTCGGTTTCGTGTTCGTGCGTGCCGTGCGGGCGGGCGAGGCGAAGCTGCGTGGGCGGGCGAAAAAAAGTCTCCTGTGGCTGAGGCGCGGCCGGACCAAATGATTCTCCACCGGGCGGCCGGTGGCCCGCGGTGTCCCGCCGGTGTCCCGCGAAAGTCCCGTGTGGCTGAGGCGCGGCCGGACCAAATGATTCCCTTCCGGGCGGCCGGTGGCCCGCGGTGTCCCGCCGGTGTCCCGCGGTGTCCCGCGGTGTCCCGCGGTGCCCCGCGGTGTCCCGCCGGTGTCCCGCGGTGTCCCGCGATGATGATGATGATGATGATGATGATGATGATGATGATGATGATGATGATGATGATGATGATGATGAGATGATGATGATGATGATGATGATGATGATGATGATGTTGATGATGATGATGATGGTGACGCTGATGATGATGATGCTACTGATGATGATGACGATGATGATGATGGTATGAGGATGATGGTGTCCCGATGATGATGATGATGATGATGATGCTGATGATGATGTAGATGATGATGATGCTGGTGTCCCGATGATGAGGATGATGATGATCATGATGATTAGGTTGATGATCATGATGATGACGATGATGGTGTCCCGATGATGATGAGTATGATGATGTTGATGTTGATGATGCTGATTATGATTGTGTCCCGATGATGATGATATTGATGATGATGAGGTTGATGATGATTATGGCGTCCCGATGATGATTATTCTGATGGTGATGATGATGTTGATGATGATGGCGTCCCGATGATGATGATGATGATTGTGATGATGATGTTGATGCTGATGTTGGTAATGATGATGATGGTGCCCAGATGATGACATGATGATGATGCTGATGATGATGTTGATGATGCTGATGATGATGATGTCGATGATGAGGATGAGATGATGATGATGGTGTCCCGATGATGATGATGATGATGATAACGATGGTGATCATGATGGTGTCCCGATGGTGATGCTGCTGCTGATGATGATGATGACGATGACTGTGTCCCGATGTTGCTGATGATGATGATGCTGATGATGATGATTGTGATGATGGTGATGATGATGATGGTGGTGTCCCGATGATGTTGATGACCGTGATGATGATGATGATGTTGGTGTTGATGATGAGGACGGTGTCCCGAATGAAGTTTTTGGTGATGATGATGTTGATGTTGATGTTGTTGTTGATGATGATGATGACGTTGATTGTGAGAGCGGTTGTGATATCGATAGTGAGATCGATAGTGAGACCGAATGTGATATCGATTGTGAGATCGATTGTGAGATCGATAGTCAGATCAATTGTGAGATAGATCGAGTGAGATCGATTGTGAGATCGATCGAGGGAGATCGATCGAGCGAGACCGATACTGAGATCGATAGTGAGATCGATAGTGAGACCGATCGAGTGAGACGTTGGTTCCTCCCCCCCGAACCTCCTTATCACCCGAAGGGTGGTCGTATAGGTATGTAGGATGGACGAGTGCGCAGCAACATATATGAAATCATATTATCCCAGGGGGAAGCGATAGGTCCAGAAGGGGGGGTAGAGTTCATTTCTCTCTTTAGAAAGGAGAATCTATGTGGTGCAGTCTATCTTGTGTAAGGTGTGTGGCGACAGCTATGTGGAGCAATCCATGTGGTGTACACACGTAGTGCAATCTATGTGGCCCGCCCCGCGGAGGGCGCGCAAAGAGTCGACGCCGTCCAACAGGGCCCCGAAGAAGGCCCCAAGAGGGCCCCAAGAAGTTCGAACAGGGCCCCCGAACCGAACCCCACCAGTATCATACCAAATGCATGTTGTATGATACTGTTGGGGGCCGTTTCGGGGGCTTCTTGAGCCGTCTTAGGCTCTCCTTGGAGTTCTTTTCAGCCTTCCCAAGCGGTCTTGGTGGGGCCCAAGAGGATTCCACGAAAACCCAAGAGGACCTCAAGAGGGCTTCAAGAGGGCGCTGTGGACGCGCCCCCCCCACCCCACACACACAACCGAAATCGCCAGCGCTCTTGCGGGCCAAACGCCCTGTGACATGCAATCCAACACCTTGAATGCAGACTCCGCAGCGGGTAAAGCGCGCGTTTTCTTAAACAGTGGCGAAAACGAAGGGCAAATATTCAGTGAACGCTCCGTTGCCTCACTACAGCAGCTGTGTTCTTCAGCGCTGGCGAAAACGAAAGGCAAACATTCAGTGAACACCCCGCTGCCTAAGTAAGCAGTGCTGTTAACGGGATTACGTTCCATGGAGCTCTCTTGGGGCCCTCTTGGGGCTCTTCTGAGTCCCCCCAAGCGGTCTTCGATGGGCCAAAAAGGTTTTCAAGCAGGCCCCGAGAGGGCCCCAAGAAGGTCCAACAGGGCCCCCGAAACGAGCCCCAGCAGTAATGTTCATACCAAAGGGCCATGTTCATTACCATAATGTTCCTTTGGTATGGTAATGTTGAGGGCCATTCCGGGGGCTCTTCACCGTGTCGCACAGTCTGGCCCAGTAGCAGCGGCGACGGACGCCGGCGACGGGCGGCGACGGGCTGCCACAAGGCGGCCCGACCATCAGTGAGGCCCAGTTCCTTAGCGGACATGCGAGGACTACCGCGTGCAAGCGCTGTTTGGGGAATGGGGAGGCGCGGAGTGCCGCGAAAATTGTTGCATCGGGTCCAGATCGAGATCCTGTGTAAGCGCACGTTTGCTCTTGGGGCTTGCCTGATGAATATCATCCATCGCTCATTGTCCTCCTCGCCCCCTTTTCGCGCGATTCCCGTGCTCCCATTCCTCTTCGAAGGGGCCTCTGCAACAATCAGCTCGGGGGGTGATCTTACGGTGCCGCGTGTCATCCTCGGAGTGGCCTGCACGGGCCGCTCGCCCGGTGGAGCTGCAGTTCTCTACTCTAGCAGCCCGCCATACTCAACCAACAGCGGGGGGAGAGGGAGGATGAGGGAATGGTAGAGGAAGAAGGGGGAGGCCGAGGTGGAGGGACAGGAAGGCGGAGGGATGTGACGAGCAGGTGGAGGGCCATACTGAACATGTGGACTAATGTCGAGGACCTGGGCGAGGAACGCAAGGAGGTTCTGAAAGGGACGATCAGCACCTGCATCAGGAGGACATGGGGTCAGGGTGGTGGCGGGCGATGTGGATCAGGGGAAGGGTGCGGGAGCGGGAGTGGTGATGGAGGGAGATGTGGGGTGGATCATGGAGGAGGGAGGAGGACAGATGGTAATGGTGATGGTGGTGATGACCATGATCATGATGAGGATGAGGAGTATGAGGGCGATGCGGGTTGCCAGCGGTTGCGTTGCGGCGTGCCTGGATCAATGTGGTAGCATTCGTGTCGGAATGCTCGGAAGATGTGGTGCTGCTCGGCTCGCAGTTGCTCCACAAAATGCGTCGATCGTCAGTCTTCGAGGGAACGTGGCAACCTTCCCTCC